CTTCTGTATTGATCCCCTCTTTGGTTTTCCTGCAATCACTGAGACAGAAGCAGTATTAGATTGAGGCCATTTTCTCAATTGTTGCCAAGTGTAAATTGGTCTTTGAGTTGCAGAGGAAGAACATTGAGAGTTACTTTGTCTTTGATTTTYCTTCTTTCTTTTCTCAAGATCAATATTRGTTTCTACAACTTGTGTAGGACTTTCTTCATGATCTGAGGCATATTCATGCTTAGAAGTATCATTTTCAGAAGGCTCTGTGATGTGTTTTGGAAAAAATTCAAGAGCCTCTGAGAATAACTTTCTCTCAAGAGGATGAATGGAACACACAAAAGCACAGTCTACTTGACTTTCTGGTTGTCCAAACTTAAAAATTCCTATCTGACTCTGTCTCATAAATCCCCTTGGAATGGAATCCTTCTTTTCAGAAGGTGAGAAAGAGTCAATATAGTCTTCAAACGCAACATTTTCCATTGTTAAACAAGTTCTTGTGTCTGGAGCAACCAACAGCCTTCTTCCTTTGAAAATGGACTTTGTGTTAGGAATATTACTTTTAAGATTCTTTGAGGATCTAAAGGTACTCTCAAGAGTTTTGTTGGATTTAAAACCAAGTTTGTTGTCAAATTCTGAGAAACCCAGACCTCTTCTBCCCATGTTAACTTTTATCTTTTTATAAACATTTTGAGCCTCTTGAAACTTTCTAATTTTGAGCTCTCTGTCTATTTGGAACGTTTTTAAAATATTTGGCATTACATAAGTTAACTTTATCAGTTGCCTGCTGAGGCGTGATCATCCAAACTAAACTTGAGGACTAAGCCAGATGAACTCTAATCACCAAGACTAGATCCTAGCAAAATATAAATCTAAATATAGGATCTCTAATAAAGTGCTAACCTGAGGTTTCTGAAATGACAGAATGTCACACCCAGAGGGGTTATGAAGATGCATTTTCAATCGCATCTCTGGTTAGTTTATCGACCCTCTGGTTGTTCTTCAAACTTAGTCATTTTTCCTTAAAGTCTTCCATCGGCCTTCTTGTTCTTCATCACTTGTTTGTCTTCATTTCTTCATGCATAATACTTATGGGGTCTAACACAAAGATTCTAGAAAATGGGTAGAGAATGCAAATAGCAGGAAGAGAAAGAGAATTCAAAAAGCAAAACCTTACCTCAAAGAAATTGCTAGAGCTTTGAAGAAGCCGTGGAGAAATCAAAATCTCCAAAGTCTGGTTATATGCAGCGATGAAGACTTCTTGGGAACCGCCATTTGTGCAAGGTTTCTAGCAATTGAAGAAATCATATGCTGACCTTACTATTTTGGTTTTGGCGCAGGAAATTTTATTAAGAAGAAGCTGGAAAAGAAGAAAACAAAGAAAGCTTTTTGAATTTACCCCAAAATGGTTTGGCGGGGAAGGGATTGGCGCAGGAAATTCATGAAGAAGAGGCTGGAAAAGAAGAAAACAGAGAAAGCCTTTTTGACATTACCCCAAAAAGAAGGTCTAACCATTTGTTGCATTTGCTCCATAAATTCAATGCATCAATAACTTGTACCACATGTTTGATGAGTTGTAATTATAAGTTTTTTGAAAAATCTTGCATAAAATGGTTGTAACTTGTGCTTAAGAGTTGTACTTACGACTTTGTCTTAAATGCTTATTAATGTAGTATAGATATATACACATATGCATCATCGTCACAACCGCCTCATTCTCTCTTGTTTTCTTTCTTTAAAAACTCTCCTCTTCTCTCTAAAATATCTCTCAAATCGTTGAAGGAATCAAGGTAGCAATTATATATTCAGAATCCAGTCTTCAAATTCTTCCTAAAGGGATAAGTTTCATTCACTTTTATTTGCGTGTCTACGTTAGGGTTCTTTAGACCGATTTCTAATTATGTTTATGTCCAAGTTTACTAATTGATATTGTTAAAATTATGATATATTTCATGTTTATGGAGAAATTAAAAGGGTAGATTATGGTTTCAATATGGTTAGATTGTAGGTATATGTTTAACCGCACACCAAATGTTCAATTAAATGCGGAAAAGAGTAAAATTGCATGTTTAGGCTTAGGTTAGCAATCATTGGATCTGTTTTACTATTTAGTATGTTGAATTATGTTTAGAGCATGTAAATGTAGTGAATCATGGATGTTGGATTATAATGTTAGTCGGGAATTCCATAATCGAATTTTACCGACAATGCAGCGCACGTACTTTGACAGTGTATAACTCACAAATTGGAAGTCGAAATAATATCGTATTTTGCTGTTAGAAATCCCTTAGTTTATACTACAACTTTCATGAAGGGTCAAAAACCCATTTATGAATCTAAGTGGCTCGAAATAGTGTGTTTTCGATGTTGTTTGCACTATAATCGGGATTAATCTGCTGTTTTGTAATATTCGTATAAAATAGATGGATAATCCACATGAGGTGCCTCTAAAACTATTATATCCATCATATATCATACTACAATTTTCATTTAGATAGTATATTCTTTATCGACCTCTAAGTGGGGTAAAAATGCTCACGAAAATCAGGATCAAAAGTTGTTAAAAGTCGGAACGAAATTATATAAAGCTAAATGTTGATTAGATTTTTCAATGCATATTCGGCTAACCTATTTGAAGTTTAAGTTGTTTATAAACATGTAGGACATAAGTAACTTATTAGTAGAATTAAGATATGGTTTTACGTCGTTTAAATAATAACCGATTTGCGCATTCGTTAGGCGCAAGAGCAAGTCGAACTTTACCGTGAATCTCGTTTGATCGTGCTTTACTTATCTATTTCGCCTAAAGTACGGATTCCACTTTCTTTGGCTCTTGGGGCAACTAGTTATTTTAGTTGACCTTTCCTAACAGTGGTTCACCACTTTGTTATGATCGCTCAAAAGTGGTCAACAAATTACATACTTATATATATAAAATGTCTTGAATCTTTATCGTGGAAACTTGAGTTTAAGTCGTTGAATTGTATGTTTGAATCTTTAAAGTTTGTTAAACTAATTCTCATATTTTGAAGTATTTTTTGAGTTTTATGAAGTACTTTGAAGCTTGACTTTTTTGAAAGTCATCCGGGTAATGACAAATGTTTAGTTTTATTGGTTTTTAGAACAACCCAATTAATGGGGGTTTTCGCCAAGGTAGGAAGGATACTCGTTTACGGCCTCGAGATTATCCCTGGTGATGAGCATGGAGAGCAGCAACCCACCGACTTTTGTTCGTCTGCTGATGCTGACGCTCTTGATCGGGTGAGGGTTGATCCTCTTGTTGATACTTGCTTCACTCCATCGCTTGTCGCATTCGTCTAGCTTTAAGTTCTTTTCATGTTCAGCCATTGCAATAGTCAGAAGCTTAGCCTGGGGCTAGACATCGTTCACCGTCTTTTTGGATTTTCTTTTGTGAAGAACTTTTGCAGCTAGAGACTTGGCCAACTATAAGCTGTCCTCAGTCTACTTCTTTTTGAGAGCAAGTTCTTCCTCAGCTTTGAGGGCCTCGAGCCTTTCAACTTCGGTGAGGAAGTCAAAGTCGTCACAACTAAAGGTACGAAGAGGGATTTTTACTCTAGTTTGGTCGAGTGACGCCCTTAGCTGAGTCATCTACTGGTCGGTAGGAGTGCTGGGGGTTCAGTTTTCGGGGACCCATTCCTCCAGCCGATCGCAAGTAGTCGTGGGAATAGACAATTGGTACAAGGAGGTAACGATTACTTGGATTGAGGACTCATCATATAAGGGTTCAAGAGGATTAAGTAATTCCTTGAGGCTCCCTTCTTCAGTGACGCCTTTGCCTTTCGACTGAGAGCCCTGGTTCATTTCTGGTGCAGCCTCTTATTCCCCTTGGTCCCTCTATGATGCGGAATCCTTGAGAGCAACTTTTTTGGTGGCAGTGGAGGGACGCTGGTACTGAATGGTGAAGTCGTCTTTGTCGTCATCTTCATCGTCGTCATCCAGGTCGCTGCTGGAGTCAGGGAGGTCAGGAGAATCGCCTTCCTCATCATCATCGTCGTCGTCGTCTTCTTCTTCCACATCACTAGCAACAGGTGTAGAGGTGCTGGGAAGGTCATCGTCACAAGCTTCAGCTCGGACGACATCAACTTCGTCAGCAACATGAGCTTCATGGGATGTTGAGATATCACATACAACCTCAATGTTAGCTTCAGCTTTGGGAGCTTCAGCTTTAGCTTCATGGATTGCTGGAGTAGTCAGTTTAGCAGGAGCAGCAGCAGATGGTCCAATGTCAGACCTTATCTCCCCCTCTGTAGTGATGGCTTGAGAGCATAAGCCAGAGAGTTTGTCGATGCTCTGAATTTGGGGAACCATCATCTCCTCTTGTCTTGTTGGAGTGCTAGCTAGGCTATTCGTCACTTCACGCGCTCCAGTAAGCTGAGCCCGGTCATCAGCGGTAAAGAATGCAGTAGTCACTGAAGCTGGTTGACGAAGAGCAACCAAGACTTGTTCATCAGCTCCGCCTGCTGAAGAGATTGGGCGTGTGCTTCATCGGCCTTGATCATGAGAGCAACGATGGCCTTAACATTTGCTTTAACTTCCTCTTGGAGAGAGGAGAGCTGGCTTTTCACGTCTTGGACTTCAACCCTGATAATTGAGAGGTCTGTAACAACTTTGTCCCTGCGATATATGTCCTTATGAACCTCGTCCATCTTAATGAGGATAGTCTCGACTGTTGGGAGGAGCAACTTCATGTCCGTTGCCATATCATATTCTTTTTTGTCCATGGCCTGAGCCTCAGATGGACCTAAAAAGAAATGTGAGTGAGCATATGGAAGCTCTTGGTTAGAAGAAACGAAAAGGTAGGTGTGTGGAGTATCTGAGGGGTCCTCAGTGTTATCTGAATGATTAACAATGGTTTGTTCCATGGTGCTCCTGAGGATGAGCACCAGTATGCTGAAGAGCTTCGGGAGGAGCTACCTCAGGTCCAGTGGTGAGTGTCACATCATTAGGGAGGACTGGCACTGATGACTCACCGACACGTGTTGAGACCAACAAAGGAGGGGAGGAAAAGTTGGATGAGATTTGAAGTGAGTGGTCAGCGGTGGCGGCACTGATATTCTCACCTTCAGTGATTTGGGTCAATAAGCCGGTTGAGAGAGATGCCACTGATACGACAGTGATATCAGGAATCACTGAAGAGCGAGGTTGGCTAACTAAAATTGCCTCGAGGGTAAGGCTCTTTTCAATAGCTGAGACCTTTTGAGAGGTCATAGCCAGAGATGTGGTAGTCCCCTTTTTGGCTTTCTTGGTCCTCGAAGGAGAACCAATAGTTGGTTGAGATGGGTGTTTGGTAGTAATGGTTGTGGTAATTGGGTTAGACTTGGGGGGGAGGATTTCCCTTGTCTTGACCATCGAAGAAGGAGAAGGGGGAATTGAGAGTATTGCACCACAAAAGATAGTGCAACATCTCTATCCCTGAGCTTCTGATCTAGAATCTAGGATCCAAGCCTGCAGACACGAAGATTACCTTCCTTGGAGTACTTGTCTCCAAAAATCTTGGCGAAGACCATGGACAGGAACATAGTGTAGGGAACCACTTTCTCCCTCTTGTTCAGCTTAAGCACCAGGTCATCGAAGATGATGGCAACAAAGTTGATTGGTTGGGTTGAATCACTGAGACACCAATGGTGAGAGCGACTCTGGAAGCCTGATCCTGGCCACCAGTCTCTCCACCCATGCTTTGGATGAAGTGGGAGAACAGAAACTGCCACACTGCTGACATGTCTGTCTTCTCTATCTTTGACAGTGACTTGAGGGGCTCACTGGGGTCCTTCTTCATGGGCTATTGGTAGCCAATTTTATCAAGGTAGGTGATGATATCTGCAGTAGAGGGTTTGCTTGCGAAGGGTCCCTTAGGAAAGCTAAGAGCGTGCCTAAGAGAGTGGTCATGCCAAAACTCACAGTCATCCTGTTGAATGTTGAAGGTGATGAACATTTTCTCGACCTGATGAACGTTCTTGTCTTCCTCTTGCACCACCTCAGAAGTCATCCAAAACTACTGAAGGGCCTCCTAACCATGACAGGTTCATGGTTGAGAGCGCAGGCGATTGGGGACATCCGTAGGAAGGCAACAACATCCTCATAGATGGTTTTGTTTGTGGGAATGTCCAACAAGACAATGTGGTTGTTGGCCTTGAAGAAGATGTCTTCCATGGTAAAGTTAACGTTCTTGGCAGCCATTTTTTGTTCTTGGTTGAGAGATAAGAAGAAAAATAGTTTATATATAAGTAGTCCAAGATTGATTGTGATCTTTTCAAGTTTTCGAACAACAAAACTTCTTTTGAAAAGTCCACAAATGAGATATTAGGGTTTTTCAATTAGAATAGAGTTTTTGAAACTAGATTATAACCATGAATAAGAATTTGTTTATAACACACCAAAGCCCAAAGCAACGAACTAGCTCAATAACTTCAAATCCAACTTAAAACTATGGTGGAAGTTATTGGTAGCCCACTATCAATATGGGACGAGTTGTTACAAACTACCCCACTTAAACTCCTGACGTCCTCGTCAGGCTGACGTCAGGCTTATCCAGAATCTTCCTCTTTGTTATCGGCAATGTGGGATTTGCCTAAGATGTTACAAACACCCCCTCTTGAGGACTCATCATACCCGATGAGGTTCCCCCACCATCCCGATGTTACAAGGATCGGCTCTGATACCAACTTGTAACACCCCAAAGCCCAAAGCAACGAACTAGCTCAATAACTTCAAATCCAACTTAAAACCATGGTGGAAGTTATTGGTAGCCTACTACTTGAGACTTATAATGAGTTAACAATTCTCACATTCTATCAATGTGGGACGAGTTGTTACAGTGTTATTAATCTATCTGTTTGTGTTTTAAGAGAACAAGGTTCTTACAATTTCGAACAATAGTTTCATTTAGAAGGAGTAGAACAATTCAATAATGTAAAGAAGGTTATCGACCTTAGAGTTCTTTTGGAGAATGTAAAAGGATTTGAGTGTTCTTGAGAGTTCTTACTTGCAAAGTCTTTTTGGCAGAGGTTCATCAAAGATATTTGCAAGCGTAAAGAAAATATGAGGAAAGAGATCTCATATTTATAGGTAGGAGGAGAGAGAAAAGAAATAGAATAGAGGAAAATACGACTGTTGAGGAATTGCCTTGATGGGAAATATGGTACGTTCTCATCCATGATTGGATGGAAGTTAAAGCAGGTCGCGTGTGTCAGACCTTTTTGCGCGTCTCAAAGCGATTCGTATTGGTAACGGAGAATGTCATCATTAAGACAACTCATTAACTATTTCTTTTAAAACGAAAAGGTTTTAAGAAATTTGAAGAGTTATATTCAGTGATAAGACAATCACTGAATAAAAACCTTTTAAAACATTTAGTCATTGAAGAAGAAAAGCTTCAGTGATGGTTTTGTTTTAAAAAATGAAAATATCTCAGAAGAATATACTTTCATAAAAAGCTTCAGTGTCAGTGATAAGAGAATCACTGAAACTAACATTTAAAAACATTTGAATCACTGAATGTAGAAAGGTTCTGTGATCTTTTTGATTTTAGGAAAAAACAAGTATAGAAGAGATATACTTACTTATATATGTTCAACGATAGAAAGAATCACTAAAAGAAACTTTTAAAACGTTTTGATCGCTGAAGAAGAAAAGCTTCAGTGATAGTTTTAAGTTTAAAAAACAAGTATACATACCTTAGAGAGAATAGATACAACAAGAGTTTAGTGATAGAGATATAGCACTGAATCATTTCACTTACTGATTGATGGGTATAGCTGAAGAAAATTATTTTTCAGCGTTTAGCATCCCCAGTTCGATGATCAAGATGTTAAATCTAGTTTCATCAAGAGGCTTGGTGAAAAGGTCAGCGAGCTGGTAATCAGTTGGAACAAAGTGAAAGTTCAGTATCGCCATTCATAACATGATCTCTGATAAAATGATATATGATCTCTATATGTTTGGTCTTGGAGTGAATAACAGGATTGTTTGCGATTGCAATAGCACTGGTGCAATCACAATAGATAGGAATCTTTGAGAACTGAAGATTGTAGTCATTCAGCTGGTTTTTCATATAAAGGACGTAGGTATAGCAACTTCCAACGACAACATATTCATCTTCAGTGGTTGTTGTGGACACTGAGTTTTGCTTCTTACTTGTCCAACTCACCAACTTTCCACCTAGAAGCTGACAGCCTCTAGTGGTGCTTTTTCTATAGATCTTGCACCCTGCAAAATCACTATTCTAATAACCTATTAGGTCAAAACTTGAACCCTTAGGGTACCAGAGACCCAAGTTAGGAGTTTCTTTCAGGAATCTGAAGATGCATTTTACAACAATCAGATGGGAATCCTTAGGTTCAGATTGATATCGTGCACATAAGCAAGTAGAATACATGATATCTGGTCGACTAGATTTGAGATATAGCAGGGAGCCGATCATTCCTCAATAAACAGTTACGTTTATAGGCTTTCCATTCAGATCCTTGTTGAGAGAGAGTGGAGGAGCCATTGGAGTCTTCATAGATGAGCTATTAGATAAATCAAATTTCTTCACCATGTCATGGACATACTTACTTTGACTGATAAAGATACCTTTATCTGATTGCTTAATCTGGAGACCTAAAAAAAGGGTTAGTTCTCCTATCATATTCATCTGGTATTCTTTCTTCATGCGATCAGCGAATAGAAAACACATAGAGGGATTAGTGGAGCCAAAAATAATATCATTGACATAAATTTGGACTAGATTGATATGACCTTTAACTTTCCTAAGGAATAAGGTCTGGTCAATCTTTCCATGAACAAATTTCTAAGAGATGAGAAACGAGGAGAGGGTATCATATCAGGCACGGGGAGCCTGTTTCAACCTATAAAGAGCTTTATTCAAACGATAGACACGATTTGGATACTTAGGGTAAAAAAAATGGAGGTTGTAAATGGAAAACTTCCTCTTGAAGTTTTCCATTTACGAAAGCGCTCTTTACATCCATTTGGTAGAATTTAAAGTCTCTATGGGCAGCAAAGGCTAGAAAGTGTCCAATTGCTTCGAGTCTAGCCACTGGTACGAAGGTTTCATCATAATTGATCCCTTCTTCTTGCCTATAACCCTGAGCAACAAGACGAGCCTTGTTACGAGTTACCACACCTTCTCTATCTAACTTGTTGTGATAAACCTATTTGGTGCCTATCACCGTCTTGTCAGATGGACGTGGGACAAAGTACCAGACTTTGTTCCTATCAAACTCAATGTTATAACCAGGTTTTTCTACAAACATGGGTCAAGGTAACCTTATGTGTTTACTATACAAATTATGTGAATTATGTGATAA